GTTGCTGCTTGTTTCTGGCTTAGTGCAGTGCCTTTGCCCTTCCCTAGCAGGAGTCTTCCTCCCGGCCCTTCCTGCTTGCCTGCTGGCGCAAGCGCCGATGCAAACGCCAGCACACCCTTTACAGAGCGCACCTGTTTGCGCGGCTTGGGAGCATGGCTGCCTACCGGCTCAGTTAAGAGGGATCTGGGGGGCTTCCCCTCTGGATCCAGCTCAGCTGCGTCAGTCCCTCTGCCCACTTACCTTGGGGGGATCAGCTGCTGCTGCCCCTGCTGCTGGCTCCGCTGCTGCTGCGTTTGCCTCTGCTTTGGGTCAGGTAAGGGGGCATGTGCGTGTGGGACGCACGTGTGCCTGGATCCCTCCTCTCCCTGCTGCTCCTGGCTCCCGAGCGTAGTGGATTTCAGGCTGCTACTTCCTGTCAGTTCTGCAGCTTTGGGACTTTTCTTAGGCATCTGGATGGCACAAGCCAGAGGATTTTTGGCATAAATCAGAAGTCATACTAACATGAAAAACAAGGGTATTAGGCTGCCAAGTGCTGCAGGCAGCTAAATCCCTTTGCCTCAACCTGCTTTAAAACTAGACCTACTTGGATCAGTGTCTTAAATGGCTGCATGGAGCCAATTGCAGCATGCTGGAGTCTTCAGGGGAATGTTTTCAGTCTTCTCTAGGGAAGAAGAGTGAACAAGCAGTGGAGATAAATGGATCACCTTGGAGTTGAACAGATAAGGCTTGAGATTGTTCAACCATTGGAATATATTCAGGGAAAGAGAATGTTCTTCTCTTCAGTGGCTGGGCTCTTCCTAGGGTCCCCAAGGTCTGAGGCTGGCATGGCAAGATAATTTATGAACAAAGAAATTGGGGGAGAAAGTTGGGAGAGATCTGTGTATTTTGCATCCTGGATTTTAGTACAAGGGAAGGAGGAAAACCTGCTAACTGAGGAAGCGGCCATGAATAAAATTATCTGATGGTCGAAAGACAAGGCAACAAATGGGACAGGTGCATAACTGAGAACAGTGGGGAGTTTGGTAGGCAGTGAAAGGACTCTTAATAATCTGGTTAGGAAATAGGGTGTGGTGAGTTTGTGACAACTGAAAAGTTTGTACTTTGATGCAAGGAAGCTGAACAATATTAGACTGGAGGAACAAGAATGACTGGGCCAGAGATTTAGGGTTAAGAAAATACACAGTGGACTAGCAATTATGATTGGGACATGGCTTAAAAAGGGTACATGCTTTTCAGGAAAGGTGGAAATAAAGGTGAAGCTGGTGGG